ATAAAAGTTCTTTTTAAAATTCTTATTGTCCATGTCAAACAACAGACCCACTGGGTCTTAGTGGGGCTTAAGAGGATTCAGCCAATTTCCCCACTAAGCTTTCCCCTTTCAAATGGGTCCAGCAGCTTCTGGCTTTTGCTGATCTGGAGTGCACACTGAAATGTGGACTGGAGTGCAACCCAGGCTGTTTTCGTACAGTTCCTACTCTAATCCATCAAAAGTTCTTATTCAAATTCCTACTGTCTCCATCATCCAACAAACCCACTGGGCCTTAGTGGGACTTTAGAGAATTCAGCCATTTTCCCTACCAAGGTTATCCCTTTCAAATGGGTCCCCCAGAAGCTCGGCTTGCAGATTCTGGCTTTTGCCGATCTGCAGTGTGGACTGAAATGTGGTCTGGATTGCAACTGAGGCTATTAGCTCATTCTGAGTCCACTCCAGCAGAAGTTCTGATTCAAATTTCTACTGTCCACGTCATGAAACAGACCCATTGGGTCTTAGTGGCGCTTAAGCGAATTAAGCCAATTTCCTCACTAAGTTTTCTCCTTTCAAATGGGTCTCTTAGAAGCTCATCTAGTGGCTTCCGGTTTTTGCCCAGTCCGAGCGGCTTTGTTCCCACAGTTCCAATACTAAAAGTTTCGACACAAGTTATGATTCAATTCCTATTGTCCACGCCACACCTGAGACCCTCCAGGTTTTAGTGGGCTTAAGAGATTTCAGCCAATTTCCCCACTAACCTTTTTTCCTTTCAGGTGAATCTCAATACAGCTCAGCTCAGCTAGTGGGTTCCAACTTCTGCTGGGTCCGTGATGGAACCGCGGCGGGGCAGGCAGGCAGGGCTCTGGTTTTTAAAGCTTCTAAAATAATGTGTTAGCAAAAGTTCTGATTCAAAATCCTACTGTTCACGTCATGCTGTAATGGTCAGTCTCTGTGGAGTGTAAAGTACTCTCTGTTGTCTCGTCTTTACACAGCTTGCTATCCCTCTGGCTCTTCACACTGTGCTCTCCACCTCCGCCATCTTCCAACTCCCAGACAATATCTTAAGTGCATCTCCCTCTAGTTTTTGGTCTATTAGAGACTTTCATTTTCTAACTCTTCTAAATAATTTCTATTTATTTTACTTTATTTTTTCTTTATTTACCACTGCTACCATGAGCAACACCCAAATTCTGAGTGCCATCTTTTTTTTTTTTAGATGGCTTTCACTTTATTGAGGAACAATGACATTATAGCTGTTATCACTGGTGGAGTTTGATTGGAGGGGGCAGCAAAGTTCTTTCAGAGGGTCCCTCCCACTGGGGCCCTGTTCACCTGTCCCTCCTACCCCTTCAACTAAAGGTCATGGTATTTGGAGCCAAGATCTTTTTCTCCCTGCATTTTACCATCATCAGCTCTCCTACCAAACTCAGCTTCCATTTGGACCAGCCATTGGTGCCTGTGCACTTCCACTACTGGGGAATGGGTATGAGGGTGAGAGCAGGGTCAAGTCTTTACAAAGAGAAGGAGCAGAGGTGGAGATTTTGCTGAATGTCTAGCAAAGGTCAACCAAGCCCAGAATTCTTTGTGCTACGTGTACATTTGACGTACTTGTCCTTGAAGGTGCCCTATTTACACCTACTCAGACACTTGGGGTGTTCAAGCACCAATCCCATAGCTGTGATCCTCTGTAGGAAGGGCTGTTGAGAGTTCATTAAGAGGGAGGGTACTTGCACTGCCTTCATGGCATTTGGGCTGGGGATGAGATTGTAGGATTTGATGTGAGATCATGATATCAGAGCAGAACAAGTATTTGCAGGATTGTGTTTAAGGAGTGAGGAAGATGTTGATGAGGGCAGTAGAGGATACTGGCACATCTTTGTTCTGGTA